ACTGTAAATTACATTTCTCTGATCCTCAGCTATAATTGGACACTGAGGATTCTCCGAGCAGCAGCCTTTCTGTAAGTGGAAAACAAAGAGGCTTTGAGCGTTTGGGTTTGGATTTCAAAAACGTGATTTTTTATTACATTAAAGAGAAGCGTAACATCACTTCATATTCAAGAATACGTAAGGTTTGCACAAGTGCACGTGCGCCCGAGTCATTTTATAAAAGAGATCTGTTGACAGACAGGTCGGTCACTTCTGCAGTGCAATGCTTGAAGTATCTCGCTAATGGACTGATAATAGAACCCAGTGCTGCACTTTGAAGCTTCCCCTGTAGTTTACAGGGTGACAGTGTGTGATTAATTGCACTCACTCCACTCCCCGTTCGCTTTTCCTCTTTTTTTGCAACGGATAGAGTCTGTCATTGCCGTGACTTTGCTCGCTCACCTACTTGCACAGCTGGATACGGCGCGATTCGCCGTAGACAATGCAGAACGCATACTGTAATACATCTTTTACACAGCCAGAGCGCGACGTGACGTCAGGAGAAAAGAGCTGCAACCTCAGCACGACTTTCACAGCAATTATCACGAAAAAATATCCTCAGCACGGGGGAAGGCCAACAAACAGCATGTAATGCTGAAGTTTCTGATGACGCACCGTTTGGCTCGACCTTACCTTCACTAGCACGTGACTGTGTTAGATCTCATTTTCTCCAACTAAAACTTGCTCTTTGAAACGCTCTACATCATTGCATCCTGAGGGAATTACGATATACGGTGGCACTAGGTCATACTATAGTAGCCGCTCGGCGCACAGTGCTCTCTTTGTGTTTCCAAACGTATTTGGAGAACGACCATGATGACTGTAACCTTAGTAGCGCCCATGAGACCCGACCGTTAGGCAATGAGGGAAGCGGTTAGAGTAATGATGATCGCAATAACATTCTCACTTACACTGAATTTTTATGCTTTTTGAGCATTGAAAATATTTTCATACCAATAATACCATTAGGCATTCATAAACAAAGCTCAGAGGACACATAACACAGAGAGTGAGAGGACAGACATGGAAAAAGTGAACTCACGCTTTGACGCACCGTTTTTTAAACCGGTAATTATGTGTATAAGAGAACAAACAAGGCTTTTGTTTGCATAAAAAGAGGATAGAGCATTGCATATGGATGTACTCCGATCCTGCAGGAAAAAAGCGTGCATGAAAACAAATGTACAAGAATGGATTATGCACATTTGGGATCTTCTGCTTTCATCAACAAAGGGTCTGCGTATTCAAAACGACAGCCGATCTACTTCAGCCTCCGCATCCACACGGCCTTTTTCCGTTAAAGAGGATGACAAGATTGTCTTTTAAGCATTGTCAAGGGTTCTCAGGGTCGGGAAGCTCGGTTTTATCCCCCTCGCTCCCTCTTGACATTCACAGTCGCCTCTTATTCATATTCAGGCACTTGTGGTGGAGATGTCAGTGATTTTACTGTACTTGATTCAGGCACTTGCTCTTTATCGCTCTCTTCTCCTCATCGAAAGGGCCAAGAGAACACTGGGACGAGTGGGAATTCACACACTTAATTAAAACAAGTGCATCGACAGTGAAAAATAGGTGGATAAGGAGAGAAAAGGAGTGCGAGGGAATTTTTTTTTTTTTTTATGCAGAAAAGCTGAAACTATACTTTTGGCCGGTTCTCCAAGAGAACTGAAAAGATCCCCATGTGAACCGGAAACGTGTAGCTCATTAGTATCCAAAAAACCTATGGGCCATTAATTAGTCGCAAACAATGTTCTCCCTAAATATCGACTTCTTAATGGACACGAAGAGACTTGGTTCGTGTTCCCATTAGAGTCGATGGCATTGGCCTCCGAGGGCTTTTGGAATCGGGCTTATGTCATCCTGCGATGCCCTTCAGACACTGGAGCAGGATAGTTTTTCCTCATCCTTTCCTTGTTCCTCATTAACTATGCACAATTGTCCAGGGAGGTTTCGCTAGACTGGATAGGGTTTCTAACAATCTGATTCCTGACGTTTTTGGAACTGCAATGCGAGCCTGAAGCATGCAACACAAATAGCACTTTTTGGCATTGTGTGTGCAAAAAACAATGTCAAAAAATGAATTGGACTGTATAGCCTTTACTTCTTTGTTGGCAGTCCTTTCCCCCTTCTTTTAAACAGTGGGCCAGAGATATTTTACAATTCCTAAGTTTGGACAAAAATAAGACTTAATTTAAGGGGCTCCAGGTCTAAGTTCACTGTCTTACCTTCAAAACCATAACCTGACTCCGCCAGATGGATTTGCTCCGCATATCCATCTGGAAACCTTCCGTTGAAGTAGTTTTGGTAAGGGGCGAAAATACTGGTTAGCTGATTGGCCTATGTTGGTGATAGACGGGCCAAATCAACCAATCAGATCAACGAAGCATATGACGTACTAACAGAGCGTATCTTTTCCTCTGAGAAAAGCCTCCAGAGCAGTGTTTTGCTCGTCTTTCAGTTTAGAAATACTCTGTAATTCCGATAAAACTCGCTCGATAGCCACGCTGATGCTAGTTTCATCCGCTGAAGCCGACATGTTCTTTAGACTGAACTGACGCGCTTCTCGTTGCGTCACACCTCAACCCGCCTCAAAGCCAACGCTGATTGGACGTTCGTTTGGTGAACTGCTCCCAAATTTTCTTTAACGGAAAGTATCCAGACTGATCTGCGAGTGAAACCTTGAAAGCTCGCGAGATCAGGATGGTCTCACGAGGCTATCAAAACCATGCAATTATAACTGTAAGAGAACGAACTGATGCTGGTGTCAGGTACTCTAAAAAATGCTGGGTTGTTTTAACCCAAATTTGGGTCAAATATGGACAAATCCAACTATTAGGTTAAAAATTTTATTTAAAAATGTAACCAAACGGCTAGGTTCGTCCATATTTGACCCAAATTTGGGTTGAAACAACCCAGCATTTTTTAGAGTGTATGATTTACTGATATTACTTTTTTCTTTATACAAACACAAAGCACAATGTCTGTATGTATGCGGTGTTGTTGGTTGTGTACATGTGTGAATATGTTTGTTGATTGTTGTTTAAACAAATAAAAAATGGGGGGGACAGAATAAATGATGTCAAAAACACAAGATCAGTTGAATCCAGTCCATCTGAGCACTGTAACTGCATGTAAACCACTGAGGGAGGGTTGAAGTCAATGTCAAACAGCGCTTGGAGGAGATTCAGGTCTTTGTGCCATCCTTTCGTGTCAGAAACATGGCTGCCTGTTTACTTACTCAACAATTATTCAGCGAAATCCCTTTAATGGAGTCCCAACACGCCACTGCACCGAACGGACGCGTTTAAGAAGGCTAACGGCATCGGCACTGCGTATCTGAGATATGCCACAAACACAAACTTGAAAGCGTCTTCACCGTTGAGAAAGCACTTTTAACTCACCATGTCGTGCCCGGAGGAAAATTCATTTAATTAGTTCATTATAATGCAATCAAAGCATGCATCTCTGAAAATACAGCAGAAATAGTCAATAAATCAAAATAAATATTTATTTTACTCTGCATAGAAACCGGGAATTTGGGTAAAATGTCAATTTAACAGCACCATTCAAACAGAATGAGGCCATGAGTGATATTTTGATATGCAAGTAATGCAGTTTTCTTACAATATTACCAAATTAACTTTTTTTTTTTTTTATTAGTGCCATAAAATGACCTATAATATAAAATATATTAAGTGGAGGATTTAATTATTCATATGGCAGAGATTCACTGGGGGGGACCCTGAAGACATACTTTATATTTTTAAACATAGATGCAAACAAAATCCCACCATATATGAAATTTGCTATATAGGTTTCCCAATTTATGCATGAATTTAACTAAGCACATTTAAACTCCATTGCATACGGTATATATATATATATATATATATATATATATATATATATATATATATATAAACACAAAAAACACTGTGATCACTGATTTACAGCAAAAGAGATCCGTTTGAAAACCAACTCAGATCAAATACTCTTATCCTTTAAATGCAGAAAGCACAACACAAATGCCCTGTAAAAAGATTTCAGCATTCATAACAGGACTAGAGACATTAACAAGCACGATAAGCGCTTCGGGAAGGTCAGTGTCTGCGCATAAACAACGACAAATTTAACAAACGTCGCTGTGCTCATGTCTAATGTGCTAAAACACACTCCTGCTTTTGTTCAGTCGCACAGAAGAGCAGAAGACAAAGTTTCCTCAAGTAATGACCTCACTATGAGCTCATACCTAGTATTAAGACCAAATGTCAATCATCCACATATATATGATATTCAATATAAAGAGATTTAAACAACTGTGAGAATATTGATACATAATAACCAAGATATTAATCTTATACTCATCAACAATCATAAAGAAAACTACAGCAACCAAAAGAATAACATTGATAATAATATTAGCCTATATTATATTATTATTGGGCATTATATACACTCTAAAAAATGCTCGGTTGTTTCAACGGACACATATATACACATTTTTAAATTACATTTTTAAACCCAAATGTTGGGTTTGTCCATATTTGACTATTTTTTTTAGAGTGTAAACAAATCTGATCTTGCGCAAATGGATTAAAACATTATTCCAACACAGAATCGCGGAATTTAGCAGCTACACATGAGACAAAAACGATCAATTCCCGCTGGCGTGAAAAATATTAAATTTGATTATCTAAGCAAAATGATTGACTGAATTAATTTCCCCACAGACTCATTATTCACTGAAACCAGACAGTATTTAATTAGCACGTCCGTGTAACGTTAAGTTACGTTACAGATGGATCTGTTTGACAACTTTTCATCCGCAAATCTTGCAAGTTATCAGACCAATAATTTAACGAAACTTTATCTCGCTCATTCAGCAAACTTCCAGTCAGCGATACAGATCGATATTTGTACCTGCCGTTCGTGAATAACAAATACTAAAAGGGTTTTCTTACCTTGAGCCGCACCGATGTTGATAAGCGATAAAATACTAAAAATCAACACAGTGACCATCTGCGGTAAGAATCCCGATCCGCCTCGTTCTCTTCTCGCAGTCTTTTTACTTCTTCCCATCATATAAACAGTCGAAACAAGGCAAAATTCCGCCGTCAGGTGAAATAATCAGATAAAGGTGTTGTTTATAGCAAAACCAAGGACTGTAGCGGAGAGTCGGTTATTTGCGGGGGGAAATATTGGTTGAATCCGTTGGTTTTTACCTCAGCGCACTCTTCTTCTGACAGACAGCGGCCACCAACGCCCGTCAAACACATATGTTTTGGGATTAAATATCCTCAGTTTCACCTCTTCTGAGCAGTTTTCTCTCAAGGCTTCGCGAAAATTAGCCGTAAATAGGTTTAAAATTCAGCTCTCCTGAGGTGAGTTCATGTTCAGGATCGGCGTCTGTCAGTTGAAGTTCCTCCAGCGCGCGCTCGCCGCCTTCTGATGGAGAGTTGAAGAGGCGCGCGATCCCCGCGCGAGACACCGGCGCTCCAGCCAATCCGGACGCGCTCCGAGTCTAGGGTGAAGAAAACCAGGTGCGGGCGCGCGGAGCGGGTGTTAACCTTGGGTGTGTGTATGTGTGTGTTTTCAAATCAGATTGATGTTAGGACGGAGCTATTCTTTTCACACGTTATTTGGATATTGTTTTGTTCCGTTTCGATTAGGATAAGTTGTCTGCGCATGATTACCATAATCTCAGCACAGATACTCAACTACTGTAGAATGAGGGACATTGGAAATATTTATCAATACACACACACACACACACACTCTCTCTCTCTCTCTCTCTCATACACACTCACACACTCTCATACACACACTCTCTCATACACACACACTCTATCTCTCTCTCTCTCTCTCACACACACACACACACACACACACACTCTCTCTCTCTCTCTTACACACACACACTCAAATACACACATTCTTACACACACACTCATTATCACACACACACATTCTCACACATCCACATGCACTCACTCACTCTCACACACATGCACCCACACACGCACACACACACTCTCTCACATTCTCTCTCTCTCTCTCACACACACACACACACTCACATACACACATTCTTACACACACACACACACACACATTATCACACACATTCTCAAACACCCACATGCACACTCACTCACTCTCACACACACATACACACACACACACACACTTACACTCACATACAAAGACACACACATTCTCTCTCACACACATACAAACTCACATATACACAAAGACACACACTCACTCTCTCACACTCACTCTCACACACACACACACACACATATATATACAGTAAATTATTTCTTCCAAAAATGGTTAGTGGAGAACAGTTTTCCATTGTCAATGCCTGTTTTCTGACTAAACCCACACAGGGAGGTTTGAAAAGGACTTTATTGTAGTTAATGTTTTACTCCTGGTTCTGATCCATGACACTGAGTAAACAAGAGCAAAACAAACCTCTCTCGAATCTAATCAACAAAACCTTAAACTACATTTGCTTTGCTTATCACTGCCCTCCTGTTATTCGTTCAGCGCTGCTAATTGCCCAAAACATGCTCTTGTCAGAAGGCATGATCGATAATTATGACAGGAAGAAAACCACAAACCATGATAACTGAAGTGATCCTGCAAACCCAGGCCGAGCCCGTCTCTGAGCTCATGATAAGAGTGTGTGTGTGTGTGTGTGTGTGTGTGTGTGTGTGTGTGTGTGTGTGTGTGTGTGTGTGTGTGTGTGTGTGTGTGTGTGTGTGTGTGTGTGTGTGTGTGTGTGTGTGTGTGTGTGTGTGTGTGTGTGTGATAAGAGTCGACCTCATCAGTCTCTATCTGCAGGTGTTCTTGCATCAAGTCTCACTTATGATGCATGATGATGTCATGGCTCTCACACACACGATCTCTCTCACGCATACACACACACATAGACACACATATACACACGCACACACTTTATGCATACACACACACAAACACTTTATGCATGTTTATACACATGCATAAACACACTCACATACACACTCTCTCTCACACACAGACACACATTCTTTCTCACACACACGCACATACCCACATACATACTCACTGACATACACATACACACACACACCCACATACACGTACACACCCACATACACACATACACACACACAGACACACATTCTCACACACACATTCTTACACACACAGACAGACATCACAGGCACACACATTCTCTCACACACACACAAATATATAGTTTCTTTATTTTAGTAACTGAAGTGAGCTTGCAAATCGATGCCAGTCGTTGTCTGAGCTCATGATAAGAATGTGTGTGTTCAGACTCTTCTGCAGGTGTGTGTGTGTGTGTGTGTTCAGACTCTTCTCTATCTGCAGGTGTGTGTGTTCAGACTCTTCTCTATCTGCAGGTGTGTGTGTGTGTGTGTGTGTTCAGACTCTTCTCTGTCTGCAGGTGTGTGTGTGTGTGTGTGTGTTCAGACTCTTCTGCAGGTGTGTGTGTGTGTGTTCAGACTCTTCTCTATCTGCAGGTGTGTGTGTTCAGACTCTTCTGCAGGTGTGTGTGTGTGTGTGTGTTCAGACTCTTCTCTATCTGCAGGTGTGTGTGTTCAGACTCTTCTCTATCTGCAGGTGTGTGTGTGTGTGTGTGTTCAGACTCTTCTCTATCTGCAGGTGTGTGTGTGTGTGTGTGATCAGACTCTTCTCTATCTGCAGGTGTGTGTGTGTGTGATCAGACTCTTCTCTATCTGCAGGTGTGTGTGTGTGTGTGCGTGTGTGATCAGACTCTTCTCTATCTGCAGGTGTGTGTGTGTGTGTGTGCGTGTGTGTGTGTGTGTGATCAGACTCTTCTCTATCTGCAGGTGTGTGTGTGATCAGACTCTTCTTTATCTGCAGGTGTGTGTGTGTGTGTGATCAGACTCTTCTCTATCTGCAGGTGTGTGTGTGTGTGTGTGTGTGTGTGTGTGTGATCAGACTCTTCTCTATCTGCAGGTGTGTGTGTGTGTGTGTGTGTGTGTGTGTGTGTGTGTGTGATCAGACTCTTCTCTATCCGCAGGTGTGTGTGTGTGTGTGTGATCAGACACTTCTCTATCTGCAGGTGTGTGTGTGTGTGTGTTCAGACTCTTCTCTATCTGCAGGTGTGTGTGTGTGTGTGTGAGAGTTTTCTCTATCTGCAGGTGTGTGTGTGTGTTCAGACTCTTCTCTATCTGCAGGTGTGTGTGTGTGTGTTCAGACTCTTCTCTATCTGCAGGTGTGTGTGTGTGTGTGTGTGTGTTCAGACTCTTCTCTATCTGCAGGTGTGTGTGTGTGTGTGTGAGAGTTTTCTCTATCTGCAGGTGTGTGTGTGTGTGTGTGTTTTCTCTATCTGCAGGTGTGTGTGTGTGTGTGTGATCAGACTCTTCTCTATCTGCAGGTGTGTGTGTTCAGACTCTTCTCTATCTGCAGGTGTGTGTGTTCAGACTCTTCTCTATCTGCAGGTGTGTGTGTGTGTGTGTGTGTGTGTTCAGACTCTTCTCTATCTGCAGGTGTGTGTGTGTGTGTGTGTTCAGACTCTTCTCTATCTGCAGGTGTGTGTGTGTGTGTGTGAGAGTTTTCTCTATCTGCAGGTGTGTGTGTGTGTGTGTGTGTTTTCTCTATCTGCAGGTGTGTGTGTGTGTGTGTGATCAGACTCTTCTCTATCTGCAGGTGTGTGTGTTCAGACTCTTCTCTATCTGCAGGTGTGTGTGTGTGTGTTTTCTCTATCTGCAGGTGTGTGTGTGTGTGTGATCAGACTCTTCTCTATCTGCAGGTGTGTGTGTGTGTGTGTGATCAGACTCTTCTCTATCTGCAGGTGTGTGTGTTCAGACTCTTCTCTATCTGCAGGTGTGTGTGTTCAGACTCTTCTCTATCTGCAGGTGTGTGTGTGTGTGTGTGTGTGTGTTCAGACTCTTCTCTATCTGCAGGTGTGTGTGTGTGTGTGTGTTCAGACTCTTCTCTATCTGCAGGTGTGTGTGTGTGTGTGTGAGAGTTTTCTCTATCTGCAGGTGTGTGTGTGTGTGTGTTTTCTCTATCTGCAGGTGTGTGTGTGTGTGTGTGATCAGACTCTTCTCTATCTGCAGGTGTGTGTGTTCAGACTCTTCTCTATCTGCAGGTGTGTGTGTGTGTGTTTTCTCTATCTGCAGGTGTGTGTGTGTGTGTGTTCAGACTCTTCTCTATCTGCAGGTGTGTGTGTGTGTTTTCTTTATCTGCAGGTGTGTGTGTGTGTGTGTGTTCAGACTCTTCTGCAGGTGTGTGTGTGTGTGTTCAGACTCTTCTGCAGGTGTGTGTGTGTGTGTGTTCAGACTCTTCTCTGTCTGCAGGTGTGTGTGTGTGTGTTCAGACTCTTCTGCAGGTGTGTGTGTGTGTGTGTGTGTTCAGACTCTTCTGCAGGTGTGTGTGTGTTCAGACTCTTCTGCAGGTGTGTGTGTGTGTGTTCAGACTCTTCTCTATCTGCAGGTGTGTGTGTGTGTGTGTTCAGACTCTTCTCTGTCTGCAGGTGTGTGTGTGTGTGTGTGTGTGTTCAGACTCTTCTGCAGGTGTGTGTGTGTGTGTGTTCAGACTCTTCTCTATCTGCAGGTGTGTGTGTGTGTGTGTTCAGACTCTTCTCTGTCTGCAGGTGTGTGTGTGTGTGTGTGTTCAGACTCTTCTGCAGGTGTGTGTGTGTGTGTGTTCAGACTCTTCTCTATCTGCAGGTGTGTGTGTGTGTGTGTTCAGACTCTTCTCTGTCTGCAGGTGTGTGTGTGTGTGTGTGTTCAGACTCTTCTGCAGGTGTTCTTCCATCGAGTCTCTGCACGTGCACGTATGATGATGTCATGTCCTACTGGTTCCGGATCCGAGCTGCTGACCTCAGTGTTGCGGGTTCAACCTCAGTTTGAAGTGATGTAGAAACCGGAGAACTGCCGAAACCCCCGTCCTACTCGCTCAGTAGTGCGCCTGGAGCGAGACTCGTAAGCTCGGGTTTCTTCAAGAAGGCAGTTCGTGCTCTTCAGTCGCTTCACATGATGAAGCATCCGCTAAATGGCCAGTAAAATAAACAGTTCATTTCAGTTACAGTTTTACATAGAATGCATGGTCACTATAGACACGCTAGTCATGTTTCTCCATTTGATTTATGCATCCTCACATTTCCTATGTGAACAGCCTCTGTAAATATTATGCAATTCTATAATGTTTACCGATGGAGTTAATGCTGTTTACAGCAGGAGTTCTTCTGTACCGCCTTTAATCTTGGTGAGTGACAACTTAGAAAACCCATTTACTTGTGTAGTGGTTAAACATCATGGGTGGCCTGCCTGTGTAATCGCATATAGGGAATTCCAAGGAAAGGTTTTCCGAGGCTTTTCCATGACTTTCCGTCAGCATGCGACTCTACACTGTAAAATTGTTACTGTTAATTGGTTAACAGAAAGTTTCCGTACTATATACGGTGAATAACTGTGATAGATGCAACCGTATACATTTACAAGTTTTTACAATCACTTTGCCACTATTTTCAGAACCTTGATGTCATTTTTCAAAACTCTAGACACAA